GATAGAATTTTAGAAGTGGATTATTGGGGTCCATGGGTAGGAACTTTTTGAGCCTGTTGATACGCATTGCCAACTGTTTTCCAGAAAGGTTATTTACTTCCACTGGCTCTATAATTGCTTGTCTCACTTATTACTTGCTAGCAGAAAGCAACATCTTTGATTAGGGTTAGGTGTAGGTTGGGAAGAATGAAACACCCTATGTTATTTCTAAAAATCAAAGTATTTATTAAATGACATCAATATGTGCCAGATATGGTTCCTGGTACTGAAGATACAGTAGTGAACAACAGAATTCCAGTTCCTGTCCTCTATGAGCTTACATTCTACCAGGTAGAAAAAATGCAATACGCAAGTAAATTAAATAGGATGTTAGAATGTAATAAGTGTTATAAAAAAAAGTAAATCAAGAAAGGGAGATGGACAGCATGAGTAGGGACAAAGAATGAGAGAGTGTTGCACAGTTTACACATACACTTGGGACACTGGAAATTTTTCCACCTTTGAGAACGTTTTTGGTTTCCTGTAAGAGGCTAGTTAGAAAGTAAATTAGAAAGTACGGAGCTCCAAAACTGAAATTTAATATTTGAGGAACTCTGGAATATTTGACTATAGAAAGTATTAAATGTAGGGTTTTGTTAGTTTTAATGAATTCCTATTGTTTTTTATTTTTATCCCACTTTAATTCATCTGTTAAAAACAACAGGCAGAACATGACTTTTACATCTCTGCTTTGCTTTACCTGTTAAAGGAGAGGAGCGAAAAAAAAAAAAAAAAAGACAAGAAAAAAAGGATTGTGGGTGGAGGGTGAGGGATAATAAGGGAAGGGAAGTAAACAAAAAAAAAGGGGAAATAGTGAAATAATTAGAAAGCCAGTTCAGGGCAAGTGTTAGTTACTGGCTGAAGGGAGACCTATCAGTCAGAGCGCTCTAGTGAATATGGTCCCGAGTACCCTTTCCAGGACTGTCCGGGGGTAACTCAGTCGTGCCATTCAGGCTACTAGAGTTAGATTTAAATCTGTTTCATTTCTGGATTAGATTTTTGCCAGAGAAATAAAAACATCCGTCATTTTGTATTTTGGCGAAAAAGCTTCCTTAAGCTTCCCTTGGTTCTTTGCAATTTCACCACTCTTCAAAGACTTCGCATTGCAGGGATCTCTTGTCGTCTATCTTAATTTTGGCATAATTGATAAGGACTTCAAAGCAAAGAGACTGAAGGGAAATTAGAAAGTTTTCAAACTTTGGGTCTTTTCACAGATTATTTATCAAAGATCTAGGTTTTTATCATATTTAAAAGTTTTTAAAATCACTTTTTTTCTGAGAAGAACTTACAGACATTCCCTAGTATGTTAATTATGCCTTTTTTGGTTTTTAAACTAGGGTTTATTGGTATACAAAATTCCATTTCGTAGATAAATGGGGTACATCTCAGAAGCTTTTATTGTACCAAGTATTAAAGATTAAAAACACAAAAATAAACATTTGGTATTGAAAACACTGCAAATTGCTAAGTCTAGTAATTTGGTAATTAAAAAACAAAATGGGCCAGAAATATTATGTATTTTAAAAGACATAAAAATAGTCATGGCACTATTGAAAGTAAGCAAATAGTAGGACCATTTTTTTTTTGTATGTTCTGAATTGAAAACAATTGCCTTAATTGTTATATAGAATTCTTTCTTCTCTGACTTTATCTTTACCAAATAAAATCTCTTAACTCATTCTTTTAAACCATGGACTTAAATTTAATTCAGGGAAAGACTATTAGATCTGTAGGCCCAGAAAAGATTGCCATATTAGCCATTGTCACATAAATCTTAATCTGTATTTCTACCATTTTAAGGAAGTTTGCTGTCACTAGTCTTGTCAGTGCTGGACATGATAGAGCATGGGAGTAGCAAAGCCTAGTGGGGGAGTAAAGTAATACTCAAGTTGAGCCAGAAAGACACTGAAAAAATTTGTCTCATAATCACATTCTAGTTAAGAGGACCCAAGACTAGGAAACTGGTCTCTTATTTACAGTCCAATATTATTTTCATCTCATCAAAGTTTGCTACTCTTGCAGGGGCTCAGGGGATGTGTTTTCATATAATTATTGGTTGCCATGGAGGCAACATTTGAAGTAACAAAGAAATGAACTTAAACCAGAGAGTGCTTAACATCTCTAAGGTCCAAATTATTCCCAGTCATGCTGGCTTGTACGAGATGATGTATATCATGTACCTAGAGGAGGGATTCATCCATTATAGATGCTAAATAAATGACACGTACTGCTATGATGGAAGACAGAAGATATTTCCAGTTATATATGGTTGCTTGGAGTGGGGAATATATAGAGAGAGATAACCAGCAGAAAAACATCCAACTCATAAAATCCTTTTCAATTATCTTAAAACACGTTACCCTAAAAATCCCATATATTTATAGTAAAGATATATTTTGAAAGCATATATTTTATATCAATATGCATAAATGTGATGAATGTTCCCATTAAAAGAAAACAACTTTCATATTAGATCATAAAGCAAAACTCAACTGTATGGGCATATAAGAATCACATCTAAAACAAAATAGCTCTGAAGTATTATATATAAAAGGATGACATAGGTGTATCAGATAAATAAAAAAATAAATGTTGCAAATATATCAATTTTTTAACCAAATAAGTGAATTTGGATTAAAAACAATCCCATTAAATAAGACAAAGAAAAGTACTTCATAGTGGTAAAGATAAGAAAAGCTGACACTTCTGTTGCACTATAATCACAACTGTATAAAACTGTATGTGTGTATAAGGGCTAGGTGACAACATGATAGATTGTAGTGATGAGATTATGAATTTTTTTCTAGTTGCACTTCCATTAATTTTGTATTGCATTATTAGTAATAACATGATGAAACTTCTTAAATTGAGTGTTGATTATACATTGAGAAATATGGAATAACTAGACCAAAACTTCTCAGTGATATCTCATTGCCAAAGAATAGACATTTGTTGAACAAAGACTTAGAGACGCACATATTTTCCATTCAGAGTTTACTAGTCTTTTTCTTGACCACCAAAATAATTTCAGCTATGTGATCCAATAGAAATTGTTGAGTCCATTCCAATTATATTGTGGTATAATGCCACCGTTGCTCTTATGTTATTCCTTGACTAGTGAGTAGTTACCTTCTCCCTCCATTTTTACAGCAATATGAGAACTGGAGGCCCAACCAGCCAGACAGCTTCTTTTCTGCTGGAGAAGACTGTGTTGTGATCATCTGGCATGAGAATGGCCAGTGGAATGATGTTCCCTGCAATTACCATCTCACCTATACCTGCAAGAAAGGAACAGGTAATGATTATCCCATTAATAATGTATACTTAATTTGCATTTCAATTATCAAGAGAATTCAGGAGGAATAAGCTTCATTCTTTGAGACACAAACTGAATACATCATGTATGTCATCTCTTGTTACTCTGGAATATTTCACTCTTTCGATACCATTGAAAAGTTTGTTTCCAGTAATATTCGCACCTTAGATTTCAGGTGCTTAAGATAACAATGTGGCATTAATGTAGCAATACTGACTGGTAATATCTTTAAGAAAAACGACTGCCGGCCCAAGGGCCCATAGACTTTTTTTCGTTTTGATGAGGAGAACATATTTTTAAAAATTAGTTGTCCACAGTTAAAAATTGGGCTATATAAAAAATAATCTGGATTTAAAAAAAGAAAATAAGAAGAGCTGGTTCCATTTAGCCCATGTTCAAGTTTGTCAGTGGAGAGCCACTCCCCTCCCGCTGCCATCTCTGGTGCCTGCCATCCTCATTCATTCCTGGCCCTGTTTTTGTGAGTTTGGGCCATAGTCCTGAAACACTATCTGAATGCATAATCCCGAATGTTGAGATCCCAAAAGATCAAAATCCCAAAGATGTAATTCTGGAAAAAATAATTTAAAAAAATTCTTTAAAAGACATTTATTAGGCCGGGCGCGGTGGCTCACGCTTGTAATCCTAGCTATCTGGGAGGCCGAGGCGGGCGGATTGTTTGAGCTCAGGAGTTCAAAACCGGCCGGAGCAAGAGCGAGACCCCGTCTCTACTAAAATAGAAAGAAATTAATTGGACAACTAAAAATATATAGAAAAAACTAGCCAGGCATGGTGCACATGCCTGTAGTCGCAGCTACTCGGGAGGCTGAGGCAGTAGGATCGCTTGAGCTCAGGAGTTTGAGGTTGCTGTGAGCTAGGCTGATGCCACGGCACTCTAGCCCGGGCAACATAGTGAGACTCTGTCTCAAAAAAAAAAAAGACATTTATTTATCTTTTAAAAAGGAAATTTATTGGAAAAACATATAAAAACATCATAGAACACTTGATAGGCCATTTTACACAACAAAATAAGCAACACTAACTTTCATATTTTTGTAAGCATGAACACTCAAGTATACTAATGACAGTTGCATAGGTATAACAGTTATGAGCAGACAGACAAGCTATGTTCATAAAGAAATAGGTCAAAAAGTGAAACGTATAAATGCATATCACTATGGTTGGTAATGGTGTGCACCCAGCTTTATAACTGTGGTCATCTGAAATACTGTGACTGACGATAGAAGTCTTTTGACAACATCAGTCAAAAACTGAGATAGGTAGTAATTCCACCTAACATGATACAACTAACATGATGAGACTACCCTATGTACAACCGAAAACTCACTAATCCCTTCCCTAGAATTTTGCTTTCGGGATTTCAACGTCTGAGATTTTAAGTCTTTTGGGATTAAGATTTTGGGGTTTTAGATATTAGGGATTTTGATCTTTTGGAATTTCAACATGTCGGATTATGGCATTCAAGATTGTGTCTTTTGGGATTCTGATCAGCACTGGTTTTTGTTAACTGTCAGGTCTCTGTTGGCATTTGAGGTCTTTAATCATTCCCTTAGAAGCTTATTTTATGCTTAGAAACCATAGAACATAAATGCCATCCCTACGTCTGTAGTTGAATATCTACAAGACATGATAAAATAAAAACATTTGTAATGTAAATTCCATGAGAATTGTTTAGTTAATATTCAACAGAAAATATTTAAAAAGCAAAATTTTAAAAATATGTTGTGTTTATCATTGGCCAATATGTTTGAATTTCTGATACATGCTGTATATAGACTTACTCCCTAAACAAATAGAAATTCTATAAAAATTTTTTAACCTGTTTGCAATTGATAATGGTGTTAAAGTATGAATATTCAGTCCCTAGACTCAGACTTTTACCTACCTCAAATAGAAGTACAAAGTACGAGTGTTAAATATAACCTATTTGAGTTATTTGTCTTTGAATAAAAAAATAAAAAAATAAAATTAAATGCTCTATAAGTATTTTTTAGGAAGACTTAAACACCAATAATGAGAAATTTTCTTAGAAGAAAGAGAATACTAAGATACATAAAGCCATAGTCTCACATGAAACTCAGGTGTTAGCAATGACTACATTATTCTGCTATTTTCTCATCCAAGGTAGAATTTATTTTCGATATCCTTTCTACATGAGAAGCTTTTCTGACTATGTGCCTTACTTCAGCACTTCTGTAATGGGACACATAAAAATAGCAAATCAAGTATTTGCTATTTTTCTTTTACCAGTGTAAAAAGTCTTTAATAAGCTGTTTGTCTTTATCCAAATGTCATGTTTGCTTTCTTAGACCTCCAAATGGTTCCTGGATTCATGCTTTTTATTTTATAATTAAATAGTCTTGTATTTCCTACGTTATTTTTTCTTATAGTAGAGTTTCTCAATAGCAGCACTGTTGACATTTTGGGTTGGATAATTCTTTATTGTGGGAGGCTGTCCTGTGCATTGCAGCATGTTTGACATCATGCCTGCCCTCTATGTACTGAATGCCAGTAGCACCCTTCCTGCTTCACATCCCTGCCTCACTGTGACAAGGAAAAACGTCTCCAGACATTGCCAAATGTCTCCAGGACAGTGGTGAGGTGTGGGGGGAAAAAGAGACAAAATTGTCCCAGGTTGAGAACCACTGCCCTATAGCCTAAAAAAGATTCACAAAAGCAGCATTATTGTTTACATTTCCCAGTGGGGAATGAGTTTTATAAAATGTTGGCTCTACCTTATTAAGAAGAGGAAAAAAACCTATTCTTATATTTTATCTCCCTACTGGCTGATTTTTATTTACGTGCAATCAATTCTTTGCTAATCAGTTCTCTAGAGAATTTTATAAATGTTTATAGACTTTTGTAAAAGATATTATTTTCTCCTTTTAGATATTTAAAGCCAGCAGACCTAAGCAGTTCTTCTTTTAATTAACTATTAAATACTTGTAGAGTATTATAATATACACAGAAGTGTTATTTTTTAAAAAAGAATACGTGAATACATATTATTCATACATCTTTGTAGTATCCTGTGGGTTCCTCCCAATCCCATCCATTAACTTCCTAACTCCCACCAGATATAATGATTTATTTCCCTTGCTTTTCCCTTTAATATTATTATATATGCTTGCATTCCTAAACAACAGATTGTTTAGATTTGCACATTTTTTAACTTTATGTAAGTGGAATCCTACTGTATATATTCTGCACCTTGCTTTTTTTTGTTGAGCATTATGTTTGTGAGATGTCTTCATGTTGATGCATGTAGCTGCATGTTCTTTGTTTCTGTTGTTGTATAGCATTCCATTTATGACCATACAATATTTTATTTATCAATTTTCCTGTCAGTGGACATTCGAGTTATATTCAGTGTCTTTGCTATTATAAACAATGTTTCTATGAACATTCTTGAACTTGTTTTTGGTACGCTTTTGTTGAGTTCCTGTAGGGTGTATTTTCAAGAGTAAAGTTGCTGAGTCATAGGATATATGTACCATCAAATTTACTAAAAATTGCCAAATTATTTTCCAAAGTGGTTGTACCAATTTGCACTCCCACCAGCAATGTGTGATAGATCCTGTTACTCCACATCTTCTCCAACATTTGATATTATCGGACTTTGAAATTTTTGCCAATCTGGTGGGTATAAAATGTTATCTTTTGTGATTTAATTTGAATTTTTTATACTTCTCCCTGAATATCTTTTCATGTACTTACAGGTCATTTGTAGCTCTTCTTTTGTAAAATTTCTGTTCATATTTTTGGTTATTTTTGAAAATTGGTTGTTTATCTTTTACATATTGATTTGTAAGAGTTCTTTTTACATTCTGGTTACTAATCCCTTAATAATTTTATAAGGTGCAAATATCTTCCCCCAGTTTTTGGTGAACAGAATTCTTAATTGTATTGAATTTTCCTTTACAGTCTAAACCTTTTTGTATCGTAAGAAATCTTTACCTACCCTAAAGTCAAAAAGATATTCTATATTGTTTTCTAAATGTTTTATAGTTTTGCCTGTTGCATTTATATATTCCAACCATCTAGAATTTATTTTGAATGTATTCTCTGAGGTAGAGAACCAAATACATTTTTTTTGTATGAATATCCAATATCCAAGTGAAAAGACTACATTTTCTCCCTGCTCTGCCATGTTGCTTCTGTTAAATATCAAGCATGTATATGTGGATCTCTTTCTGCTCTATTTTCCTATCCTTGCTAATACCACATTCTCTGGATTATTTTGGCTTTTTAATAAGTATTCATATATGAATAATTTTAGAAGAAATCTATACAATTCTCTCTTCACAATTATAAAAACAACTCCTGATTTGTCAGCATAGCACAAAATCAAGTATAATAAATTATCTAATTGATCATTTTTAACCTTCTATTAAAAAATCGGTCTCATTCTTTCTGATACTTGCTAGTATCTGGACCCTAATGCGGGCATTCCTACATAAAAGTAGTATACAGGTATGCAATTTTGGGTCAAGCAGAAGTAAATTAGAGGAACTAAATATTTAAATTAAACCCAAATTTGTCATTGCACAAAAATATAGCTGTAAACAGCCTTGTGAATATGTAAATAAATTTAACAGTTGTAAACTTTTAATATTAGGATGTTGACATCCAAACATCTTAGTACCAAGGTTTCTGGTAATCTTTCTCCCACTGGAGATTTATATTATTTCATGAGAGAATATGGCATGTTTTTGTGGGCCTGTGGTGTCAGAATTTTTAAACTATGGATAAGAAATTCCATTTAGGGAAAATTATATTTAAGTTACATTTTTATTAGAGATATATAGAAAAAATAATTTAATAAAAGTTGATTTTAATATACTATTAAAATAAGTATATTAATATTTAATAAAACTATGTTAATCAAATTCAATTGAATCAATTTCTCAGCTTCTTGAATTTCAAATCAAAAGGTTTCTTTTACTTTTACTTCTTTTTTATTATTTCTGCTATTGCTAAGTTTGTTGATATTTAGAATTTTTCATTGTAAATTTAAAATGATGGTTAAAAATTACAAAATTACCCTCATTTACCCTTATCAAGAGTTTAAATTTATGTTTTTTATGGTAATTACAAAACTGAGTCATGAACATTATGCTCTCTTTCCCCGGTCTCAATACAGAAGACAGAAAATAGCAAATAAACAAATGGAACCAGAAGAGATTTTATTTATATTTAGGAATATATGTCCATATTTCAAAATTACGATGGTATTATAGATTGTAAGTTTTTCCAGGGAGGAAATGGTAATAGTGAATTGTTACAAATCTATTACTCTCCCAAGTGAAGGTGGGTAATAAAAACTTATGAATGGTGATGAAGGCAATACCAATAGGCCACTGGCTGACATGAGATAGATGCTTTTTAATTTGGAATTTATTTTAGAAAAATGACTCTACCAGATGGATAGGTGAATATATAACCATTTAGCCTCATGGATTTTTAATAAACCACAATTCAAGATGACATAATCTGAGATTCAAACGAGGCCCAAGAGGCTCAACATTGAATGTTTTCTTGAAAAATTTCAACTTCTTAATTCTAAATGATTGTTTCTAACGAAGGTAATTGGTTGATATTATAGAGAGAGAAAGAGAAAAATAAGAGATTCATACCAGTTGAAATACTTAGATTATTTGAAAATAACCCAATGTGCTTTTCTTTAGTTGCTTGTGGCCAGCCCCCTGTTGTAGAAAATGCCAAGACCTTTGGAAAGATGAAACCTCGTTATGAAATCAACTCCCTGATTAGATATCACTGCAAAGATGGTTTCATTCAACGCCACCTTCCAACTATCCGGTGCCTAGGAAATGGAAGATGGGCTATGCCTAAAATTACCTGCATGAACCGTAAGTGGTCCTTTAGAAAGAATGGACAACCGTGCCATAACAACTACTAGACATCCTCATTTTACGGCTGTGGTATCAGTAGTTTAGGGTATGGAGCAAGTAATATTGTTGTGTTTTCTTTCTTTCTTTCCTTCTTTCTTTCCTTTCATGTAGCATCTGCATACCAAAGGACTTATTCTAAGAAATATTTTAAAAATTCCTCATCAGAAAAGGACAATTCATCAAATACATCAAAACATGAACATCGTTGGATCCGGAGATGGCAGGAGTCGAGGCGCTGATCCCTAAAATGGCGAACGTGTGTGTTCATCATTTCAGCCAAAGTCCTAACTCCCTGTGCCTTTCCTACCACCTCGAGAAGTATTATCAATTGGTTTGGAGTTTTGGATCACCGTCCAGTCATTTTGGGTTGCTGTGCTCCCAAAACATTTTAAATGAAAGTATTGGCATTCAAAAAGAAAGCAAGCAAAATGAAAGAAAATAAGGGCAGAAAATAACCATTTGCAGCCTATCTAATTTTTTTAGTTTTCTATTTGCCACTGGTGCAGACCATTCCGTGATGTATACCAGCCTACTGTACTATTTAAAACGCTCAATTTCAGCACCCATGGCCATGTAAATAAGATGATTTAATGTTGATTTTAATCCTGTATATAAAATAAAAAGTCACAATGAGTTCAGGCATATTTAATAATGATTATGGAGCCTTAGAGGTCTTTAATCATTGGTTTGGCTGCTTTTATGTAGTTTGTTTAGGCTGGAAATGGTTTCACTTGCCCTTTGACTGCCAGCAAGACTGAGGATGGCTTTTCCTGGACAGCTAGCAAACACAAAATCTTGTAGGTCATTGCACCCATCTCAGCCATGGGTGCAGTTTGCTTCCACGTGATGCTGAAGCCTGCCTAATGGGATCCCGATGGAACTAGGGACTCCAATGTGGAACTCTTCTTTGCTGCATTTCTTTTTCCTCACTTACAAGAAAGGCCTGAATGGAGGACTTTTCTATGACCAGGAGCATTTTTTAGGGGTCAAAGTGCTAATTATTAACTCAACCAGGTCTACTTTTTAATGGCTTTCATAACACTAACTCGTAAGGTTACAGATCAACGCATTTCAAATGGATATAGACCTAGGGTTCTGGAGGGTGGGGGATTGTTAAAACAACACACATGCAAAAAAAAAGAAATTTTGTATATATAACCATTTTAATCTTTTATAAAGTTTTGAATGTTCATGTATGAATGCTGCAGCTGTGAAGCATACATAAATAAATGAAGTAAGCCATACTGATTTAATTTATTGGATGTTATTTTGCCCAAGACCTGAAAATTGACATAGTATGGTAGTTATTTTTCAGTGTTAGCCTTTATACTTTTCCTCACACAGTTTGGAACCATATAATATAGGTACTTTGTCCCTGATTAAATAATGTGATGGATAGAATGCATCAAGTGTTTATTATGAAAAGAGTGGAAAAGTGTATAGCTTTCAGCTAATGGTGTTTGCCCATTCTAAGCAAGGAGCATATATATAGAAATAGTGTGGGCATTTCTTCCTGTTAGGTGGAATGTATGTGTTGGCATTTCTCCTCATCTCTTCCCACTGCATTTTGTCCCCTTTATTTGAATAAAGTGACTGCTGAAGATGACTTTGAATCATTATCCACTTAATGTAATGTATAAGGAAAAACTTGTAATGGAAAGAAAAACTCTTTCCCAAATTTCAGTTAGATCAACTTTGAGAAGACTGGATGACAAGTAAAGTGCAAATAGAAAAATAGAAAAGAACAGAGAGGGGTCTCCCCAACATTGATTCTTTTTCATGAAACCTTCTTTAGCTTAGAAGGAGCAACTTAGCTATAATCATACACAGCATCCTTAAGCAAGTTCCCTTGGTTGTTGCATTAAATGTAATCCACCCTTAGGTGTTCTAGAGCACAGAATAACACTGTGTTGACCTATTAGGTTTTTATTTTTCTTTTCTCATTACAATGCACATAATACTTTCCTGTATTTATATAACGTGTATAGTGTAAAATGTGAATGACCTTTTTTTTGTGAATGAAAATCTAAAATCTTTGTAACTTTTTATATCTGCTTTTGTTTCACCAAAGAAACCTAAAATCCTTCTTTTACTATACTGTGACTGGTCTGGTTATTTACAACTTTAAACTCTAATGTGCACCAACATTTTTACATTCTGGTTCCATCATGGAGAACAAGCTGCTGGCTTGGATGAAATGACTTTGTGGCTAGCAAAGAAATGATTATACACCTACCTGCAAATATTGATATAGGAATGATTTAATCTAAATAGTATGCATTAAGCTCAAATATGAAAGAAATCTGCAATAGGAAAAGTGATAGCTCACATTACAGAATGCATCTTATGAACCAGGCCAAATGTTTTACATGCTTATCTCACAAAAAGTATATGAAAGAGGTACATAATGAGGTGCATGACTGATGAGGAATCAGGCATAGAAGCTCAAGTTATTTGTCCAAAGTCACACAGGTAGTGTGGAAGCAGGTAATTTCTTTAGCCTGCATGATATTCTCAAGAAAAAATATAAAATATTATGTTCCTGATTGTTACACATTTAGGTGGTTAATTTATTGGCTAAATGGTCATATCTAAATAATTATCAGAAAATGTCAAAAATATAAGGTTCTCATCCATTCAGATATCCACCCATTCCTTTATTTTTCATTCATTCACTATCTATTAAGTATCTACTCTGTTCCAGACACTGTAATAGGCCCTGACGATTCAGCGGTGAATGAGCTAGATAGGTCTCTGCCCACATAAAGTCTTTATACTGGCTGCATCCCTTGGGAATTAACTTACTTAGAGCTCATTCTAGTTAATATCTTTATTGATGATCTGGAAAAACAAATCCATTATATGCTCTACAATTGTATAGAATATATTATATAATTCAAAGGTGAGTTGAAGATGATTTTGAAGTTCTTTCCTGGAATGTCAAAAATATGCAGGAAGTGGTGCACGAATAGATGTAGGAAAGAAGAGCTTCTTTTCCTTTCTCAGCTTGTCCTTTTAGCGTACACTCTGTCTACCTTTTACACAGAACTTTGAATAGAAATGATCTAAGGGAATATATAAGAATTTGCATTATTTGTGCATGTATTCCCTTATTAGATTTATAAATGTATTATTTATTGATTGATCAAGGTACAAATAATAGAATCTGTGAGGCATGCAGAATACTGGGACACAGTGAGAAATTTAAGGAGACTTGCACCATTCAAAGTCACCAGAGGTGGTTCTCTATCCACTTTTAAAGGTTAAATGGCATATCAAGGAGAAGAATGTGCCCCTGCCCTTGGGGGCTATTTAAGAAGAGGTAGTCTTCCAGGCTAGTTAAAATGCAAAAGAGGTAAGAGAGATTGTATAGGGAGGGATGCATCATGTTAATGTGATAGTAAACTGGGTCGGCCATGAGCTATTTGCCTAAAAATAATATCATGTACAATAAACGTATGGAGTTTGGAAATGAACAGAAAAAAAATGAAATAGGTTGTTAAAAAGTTCAGAGTTGATTTTGTGTATGACTATTTTCCAAGAAAAAAACCTATGAGAGAAAATATATTCTAGATAAAGGCAAAAGATGTTATTATCAAGTGGCTAAAGACTCGATGACGACTGTAACATTTTTAATGTGTTTATTTTTGTGTTCCCTAATGTTAGAAGGACAGTGAAATGGCTTTTGAAGAAAAAGGCCTGCAGTGATGTGTTAGCACTTTGTTCATCTTTCTTTTTATTGTGCTGTAATTCACATTTGCTAAACAACTCAGAATTCACCCAAATGATCCTTTCTAAAACAAATCTAAACAGAAAGTTTATAAAGGTCTTTGAATGAGTCATTCAAGATTATATTAATATAATCATTTCCCATTATTACTCATTTTGTATGTTTAGATCCCAGCTGGACAAGAAAGAGCAAATGCCAAAATAGAACAAGAATGGTTTTGTTCAGGTGTGTACAGAATAAGCAAAGTCTGGGTTTTAATTAGAATTTAATTCAGTTTTGTCTGAGCTCATCAAATGGTCCCTGCTGAAGATCAAGAGTTTATTGCCTTAAGCAGTAAATCTTAAATGATTTTTGATAGTATTTACTCTAAAATAAAATTTTAAAACTATGTACATTTCACACTTTAAGTTGGCAACAAAAAACTTTCATCATAAAGTTAGATAATTATAGAGGATATTATTT